GCAAAGTACAGTACTTCCCTCTTCATTACAAGGGGTATGTTGCAACCTCAACAATTGCCTGAAACCATGGGTCATCTCTGAATTCTAGATATGTATTTTCCTGGCCACATATACTTAGGACAGTGTATAAATTAGGCAGTGTATAAATTAGTCACTATCAACAAAAGAGAAAAATAATAATACACTGTAAATAAAAGTTATGTAAATAGAGTCTTTGTTCATTTCTGGAATTTTCCACCTCATATTTCAGAATGCCATTGATAGCAGATAACTAAAGCTGTGGAGGGAAAGGAGAGAGGGGAGAGAGGAGGAGGAGAGAAGGAAACCCCCTCTAAAGAGGGGTAGGAGATGGGAGGGGACAACTACTATAACAAAGAGAAAAGGAGAGCAGAGAAGGCTAAAATGCCCTTTCAAACTTGAGATACTTCCTCTCACAGTGTATCTATCTTCTGTAGCTCTGGCTGTATCCCAAGATTTGCTTTGGTGACCCATGACATTGTAGGAGCTATAGCCTTGATGAGCTTGGTTGGAAGCTCCCATGTTACACCTCTTCAGCTAAGGAAAACAACTCAAAAGTCTGTGTGGACATAGAGGAACTTCGAAGCCTTTATCCTCTGAAGTCTAATTGGAAGTCCTTCTGTTTTCCCAGACTTCAACGGAAACTTCAGCATTTTCCAAAAGAAAATGCAACATCCGGGGCTTTGTTATTGCTCCTCCTTTTGCTGTCATATTGTTCAGCAAAAGAATCTTTTCACATATGAATTTACCAGGGGGTCATTCTGTTTGACTGGATCTACACACCACGTAGGGAAGATATTGATTACAACTAGTGGGTGGTTGTGTCTTATGACCGATTTCTCTATTTCTTTAAATGTAAAATAAGACAATTGATATAGATGATGCAACCTTTCTAGCTTTTTAAACTTCAACCCATGACATTACTTTTTACAAAATGGCATAAGCTTAGGGCTGATAACAGGGCTTGGAAGAGAATAAAGGGGGAAGTCTCTTTTGAAAGATGATTTAAAAGGAATACCTCTTAGTCTAAAGCAAAGGAACTATGCAGACATCAATCATGATCCTGGGGAAAGCTGTGGGGTCCAGAGACCTAAGAAAATCCTTTGGCACTTTGAGACAAGGCATGCATATTCATAGATAGCAGGAAACAGGGGAGAAAATGCAGTGTAGGCTGCTTGCTCTGTGCTAACCAGCATACTTCCTATTCTAAAACAAATGACCTTGGAAAGATCTCCAAACGGACTGAAGTGTGGAGCCCTTGCTCATCTTCCAGAGAAAGCTGTGGGTTAAAGAGGCTCACATCTGCAGAGTCACATCTGTCTGGGAATAATTCCTTCATCCCTTCTAAGAACAGGAAAGACAAGCAAAGCTTAGAAGGACTCTTCTTTTACCAGGCAAAAATAAGCAAATAACCTCTTCTGCCATGAGCTGGTTTATTCCTGGACTACACAGGCACAGATAATGATGCGGGCACTTTTACTAGAAATTGTAGCTCTAATCTGCAACTTTGTGATTCATCATAAATGAGACATCTACCTCACGTTCTACAAATCTCAGCTTTTTATCCTTTACTTAGAGGCTCAGACTATTTCTGAAAAATAATTGCTTCTCAATGTATGCTGTGTGTCAATTCTCAAAACTGACACCTTGAAACTACAAGGATTCTTGCTTAATTATTCATGGTGAAATTTTTTATTGCAACAAATTTATCAATATGCTTGTCCCATCAGCGTGCCAGTGTTGAAGGACCATGCTGTGCGATGAACCCAATAAAAAAGAAAGTCCAATGCATATTTTTCTGCATCTATAAACATATGCACTAGCTTCTGCTTCCCGAAACTTTCATTTTGCTTCAGCCTTAACTCTTAAAAATAGCAGAATTTTCATCTCACGATGCTTATTAATGTAATAGCAGGAGTCAAGTCAACCTCCTCATTGCAAACTACCCTTGATTTTTCTCCCCTGTTCATGAGCCTTTGCATTCTTTTAGAAGGAAAGATGCTGATCCAGAACTTGGGGGGTCTCCGAGCACATTAACCATGCTCTGAGTAAGTAGGAGGTGATTTAATGCTCTGAGTAAGTAGGAGGTGACCACATTTTTCTAAATCAAAAGTCAAATCTATTCCAGAGTGACCTTGGGAAAGTTTCCTTTTTCTTTGTTATCATGAGATGTGGATGTGCACCATAAAGGCTAGCTGAACTCATGTTAAATATCTTGTAGGATAGGCAAAGTGCTGTGTTGTAAATCCTGTAACCAGAAACCCAAGAGAGAGAGAGAGAGACAGACAGACAGACAGACAGACAGAGACAGAGACAGAAAGAGAGAAAGAGAGAGAGGCTCTTGTGACCTTTCACGAATATGCTGCTCACCCCAAGGAGTGAGAGTAATTATAACACACTGAACACTTCTCACAGGGGGATCCATTTTCTCCGGAGAGGCCAAAGCTTTTTATCACTTGTTATGTTTCTCTCCTCTGAGCCAGAGCGCAGCCGGAGAGCTCAGCCAGGGAAAGGTAGAACATGGAACTGTAATCCGAGAAGAAAAAACAAAAATAGAGTGGGGAAGAAAGGGAAGAAAGAAAAGCGAGCAGGCTTCCAGAGAGCCCGTGGCATCTGTTGGCCGGGCCTGGCTTCCAAGTCTCTGTCTGTCCCCCTGATAGAGTTTAAATTCATGCTGCGCGGAGGAAGGGGATGGAAGCCAGACCCAGCACACCACTCTCTGCCTCAGTTTTGTCCTTGTGAACCAACAGAGGCGTCCACACTTCACTTTCCCAGCTCTGCCTTGGCCTTTCTCCGCTGAGCTCTAGCTACCACTCCCATTGCCTTTGTCACCCAAGAGTTTGACACCCACTCCTCCGTTTCCTGATTCTGTTTCCTTGTTCCTTCTCCTTTTCTTTTATACGTGGCTAATAACATCCACCCCGTCTTCTCGGGTCAGAATCTGATTGACTTTTTAAGAATAACTTACACTGTATAAAGTTTTATAGCTAGCACTTAAGCATGCATTTGGCACACCTGAGCCATTGTCTCCTGGGACATTTTTTTTTTGTTGCCGTTTTGGCCACACTTACTCCTCTCTCCCTGTGTTTTATCTTCAGGAACATCTGTGCACTAACTGAGAACTGCAGAATCAACACCCTGGGATGGAAGTCAGGAACAAACTCCCAGGGAAAGTGACCTAGGTGGCAGAATTCTGATTAATGCTTCTTAGATGCATCCGCATTGTCATCTTACCATAACTGTAATCGTGCCTATACCCATGCCCATGACTATTTTTAAAATAAAAACCCATACAGATAGTGAGCTCCCAGATGATTGGGGGCTGGGTGAGCTATAGGGCTTGGGTGTATTTTTTTTTGTTTTTTGTCTTTGTTTTTTTTTTTTTTTGGTCTTTTGGTTTTTCTTCAGTTGTAAAGCTTGAACTGAAAGCCTGGGCACTGTGCTTGAGTGTTTCTTGAGCCACGTTGCCACAGCTGGATTTCTGGTGGTCAATTGGTGATATAAGCCCCATGGACTTTCCTGTTTCAAATCACCATCCTCAGATCTCAGTCTCCTAAGTAGCTAGGATTACAGGCGTCAGCCACTGGCTAAGCCATGGCTTCTTAATTGGTCATTTGAACAATGACTCAGCCATACTAACTTTCACTGATTTCTCAACAAGGTAGAAAGGCTTAACAGAACGAGAACCAGCCCTGTCCCTCTCCTTCTTTCCTGTGTTCGCAATATCAGGCTCAAAACAAAGGCTTCATAAACATATGAATGGTGTTCAGTCGATGCTCAGGGAAATCAGGAAATTTTTTAAATAAGAACATACATGGCACATTTGAAGGAAAAAACCTTGTGATCATTGAGGTAAAGAAGTCTGGATTTGTAAGACAGGAAAAATACTTGGTGGTTCAACGGGCTACAACATAAGCACAAATCAAAAGCAGTCTTTTGCTTTAGATCTGGAAGGAAAGGAATTTTGAAGGTATCAACACACTTCTAGCATGTAGACATCATGAGTGTTTGTTGTTTAAATCTGAGTCATTCTTAGAGTGGTGTGTTAGTTATATAACTTGCAGCAAAAAAAGAAATTTGAATAGCTGGTAAGATTTCAGAAAAGAACCAAACCTCTCATGTTGCTGATAAGGATATAAAATAAAATCACACAGTTCTTTTCTCACAATTCCTCAAAAAGTGAAATATTGGACTATCACGTGACCCAGAAAATCCACTCATAGATGTATACTGAAGATAACTGAAGACATGTCAAACAAAAACACATACACAGGTGTTCTAAGGACATTACTCAAAATAACCAATGAATAATCACGAAAGACAAAGGCTAAACAAAATGTGAAATAGGTAAAGAATCAAAGAAATGGTGACATTGATCAAGACATATTGTGTTCACAAAGCACTTTGTTGAATGGCAAATCCTTTGTACAACTACTTAAAGATAACAATGTTTGGGGAAAAAAAAGAACTGAAGAAGAAAATGGGGAATGGAAACCTGGATCACAGGATACTCAGAATGTAAGTGTATGCATATAGAGACAAGAATGAAGTTAGATAGGAAGGGTACAAGAATGAAGTTGTAATTTTCTATGTATATATATTGAACTGGAACTAGGAAAGTTGAGGGGATGGGGTGGGAAAGATGGGAAAGAAGAGTAAAAGGGATGACACTGATCAAGATGCATAGTACTCATAAGCTGATCTGTTGAATTGAAACCTCTTTGTACAATGACTTAAAGATAATAGTAATAAAATAGCCAGGCACCAGTGGCTTAAACCTGTAATCCTAGTTACTCAGGAGGCTGAGATCAGAGGATTGTAGTTCAAAGCCAACCACATTAGGAAAGTCCTTGTAACTCTTACAATTAATTACAGAAGAAGCTAGAAGCAGTGCTGTGGCTCAAGTGGCAGATTGCTAGATTTGAGCAAAAGGCGCTCAGGGACAGAGCCCAGGCCCAGAATTCAAGCCCTAGGACCAGGAAAAAAATAAATAAAATAATTTAAAAAATAAAGTTTGATTAAAGACTGCCTTTTGAGACATAATTAGCCTTTTCTATTTCAAAGAACTTTGAAAACTGATCATTAGTTGAGGAGAAAATTGGAAGACAGATTATAAATACAGACAGAGAGAGTTGGTTTAGATACAAGTTATTCGCACCAATAAATATACAAATGTTCACATATTCTTTTTCAGAATGGATATTTTGTCTATTTTGTACATATTAGCCATATAAAATAATGGGTTTCATGGTGGCATTCTCTTACTGTTACATAGACAACATACTTTGATTATACTGACCCCTATTTCCCTATTTTACCCACCCACACACACTTCTTTTCACTTCCCTAATAACCTCCCTTTAGAAAAGGTTCTGTTTGTTACATCTTGTCAGAACAATCTGCAGGAGCCCTTCTTGAAGTGAGATAGGGATGCATTAGATGACCTTTTATGTTCTTTGCTCTTTCCCACCCCCCCCCTCAGAAAAATCAATACCATACAGCACCCCAGCACATTTGTCTTGGTGAACTGAGAGGAGACATTGCAGATTCTTGAAAGGTTTTCTTATTTGATGTCTATATACAGTTATAAATGCACATTCTTCTTGATGATGCTAAAAGTCTTCTCTAAATTTTTTCTTATTTTTTTTTAATGAAAGCAACCTGCAGCTGTACTTGTAACCTATTATTTAAATCGGTAGGGTAAACAAAGTAAATTCATGTTACATATAGCTAGCTCTACCTGTGGTATGAATATGAGGACAGAGAATGTAATAGGCCTGCTAAGCTCTGGTAAGTTTTGAAACCTCTCACATAGCCTTTCCATTCAGTTTTGCACTAAAATGATAACACTTGTGTCTGCCAAGGTCAGAACCATCTCTTCTAAGCCTCTCTTTACTTGCCAGTGTTCCCTGCTTTGGACAGAAACAAGTCCCTGCCTTGAGTTCTCTAACCACACTCTTTCTTCCTCTGCCCAGGAGATAAACAGAGCAAACTGAGAGGCTTGAGTGGAAGTAGGCAGCCAGTTCTTCATAAGTCACCAGATTGGGATCAGCTCCTTTCTAAATCCTTTCCTGCCTGGTTAGATTAGCCAGCGATTTGGTTTAGGGTAAACTCAATGGCAGTGATGATATTCTTGGTTTTTACCATCATATAGTCCACAATAGTCACTCATCGACTAAATAGACATTTAGACTCTTGTGTGTTTGTTTTGGTTGATATCATAACCTTTTCTACCATCCTCAAATAAGATATCCTTCACGTACTTTTGTGTTTATGGAATCATGAGTTGTGGTCTTGGGACTAGGTATTGTCAAAAGTTGATTTGTTAAGAGCATCCACAAAAGGGAATCTGCACTCTGGCATGAAATACATTTCACTCTCTCTGGAGGCAAGGCTGCTCTGTCCCTTTAAGCAAGGGCATGGTCAAACTGCCCCTTTTCCAGGCCTTCAAGCCCATCGGCCCACGTTGAGGTTGGCATGCTCCGATATGGGTCCAGAAGAATCCGGAAGCATCTGACGATGAGGATGCCCAAGAAAATGAACAACAAAACCACAAAGACAAATGTTGTTTTTTGCTCCAGAGACATGCTAGAGTCCGCTGACGCATTCCCAAGGGGCAGCAGGGGGGAAGGGAAAGGCTGCCCTCCATCCATTGTCCAGGGCAAGCAAATCGCAGGCGTTCCTGACCTCCTTTCCTTCCATCATAAGTCTGCTGACATCATGGCGGCTGCACTCCAGACAGGCTGAGCTACCGTTAGGGAGAAAGAAAAGGGAAGGAAAAGGAATAACTATCAAATATCAACCTGATTGTCTAGATTTACAACCATGGTTTTCAGACAGCAGTAATCTATCAGCCAGCTTTGCTTTTCATCAGAGGGGCTTAATTCTGTGATTACAGAGAAGAACATTTTACTCTTGCACGAAATTACTATACCCAACTGTCCTCACAGTGGCCACCTTGGCTAGGAGAGTTGGTTTGGAACCCAACTATTATATAGCGCTTGTTTGAAATGGCCGGGGGAATGTTGACCTCAAGGTATGCTGTCACCTGGACATCCAAACCCAGCCTCCCTGCCAAGTTCCCGCTAGCTTCCCTCTAGTAACATTACCGCCACCTCCTGATAATTGTTCCAATGAGTGAGCACCAGCCCGTGTGCCAGTCCTGTGGCTGGACTTCACATGCAGTAGCCAGCTTGCTCCAGGCTCCATGAAAGCAGGGACCTGTATAGCCCCAGATCTCTCAGGGAGCATGGGATTGTGGTTTGCATTCTATTACTAAATGAGTTTGGAATCTTGGAGAGAAATGAGGCTGTGAAAAACATATTTAGAGATGCCTGACTATCTCACAGTGCTACGAATATCTGTGAAAACCCTTTGTAAGATGTACAAAGAAGAAGAAAAAGTAGCTGTGAAGAAAGGGACTCTGTTTGTTCATTTGCTTTCTGTACTGAGCCAAGGGAAGGAAGGGCTCCAACTCCCAAACCATCAAGACACTGCTGCTTTTTTGCCTTCAAAAACAAAGATCGAGTTCATTCCTTGACCCTAGGAAGGTATCTAGAGAACTGAACTGAGGAAGAAGAATTGATTGACTCCATGTTCTTTTTAAGGACAATTGACCACGGCTTCCTTTCACACAAGCTCATTTGGTAGAAATGAAGAAAAAGAGATGAGAAATTTATCACTATTTCCATTTTGCTGGTGGAAAAAAGATGAAGTATCAGGCTCTTAAAGGCAAATAATAAAATAGAGAAAGATCATTAAAAGCTTCAGGAACTCTACATAGTAAACATTACTACATAGACAGTCATATGATATAATCATGATGTATTTGTCTGCAAGAAACCAATACATGCTGGGTAGCTATAGAAATCCACATAGATTCAAAGAAATTATGCTTGATGAAAGTAAGTGGCTAATAAAAATTGTAATGATTGCCTAAAGCATCAACCCACAAACTATTTCCTCAGTCCACTTAGAATCACTGCTTTCAGTGCAACATTAGTTATATAAAAGTTTGCATGCACGTTGATACACTCTGCAAGTGAAAGCATTAAAAGAGGCTTCCAACATATAACTAGTGAAACTGGTTTACAACCAGTGTCTAAAAGAATGGCGTTAGATGTTTGAGAGTAACGGAAACTTTTTAAAGCTACATCCCTTTGACTCTCTTCCTTTTTGAGACAGGATTTGGAATTCACTCAGTAGCTGAGACTGATCTTTAATTTAGGATCTTCTTGTCTCTGCTTCCAAGTGCTGGGATTTCAGGCACCATGCCTGACTTGAATTCTTGAATTATTCTCTCTCTCTCTCTCTCTCTCTCTCTCTCTCTCTCTCTCTCTCTCCCTCTTCATCTCTTTCTTTCCTGCAGAATCAAGGACTGAACTCAGAGCCTTGTACTTGCCAGGCAAATGTTCTTCCATGGAGTTAAGTCCCAGACCTCTTGAATTATTTTCTTAAAGGTCAGAATCAGTGCAAGATTCATTTATGATTCATGCTTGTTTTGAAGCAAGATTGAGATAAAAGTTGGTTATATCTTTTAAAATAAGCCATTTAGGAATACTGAAGATAAGAGCTTGGTTTGATTAGAGTTCATTTATTTTTAAGGATCTTCCTAGCATTGGATGTTGATTTCCACTGGGGTTGGAGAGAAATGATCCAGGAAAGGTGACTGGAGCTCCCAATGCAGCTTTCTTAGTACATAGACTACAATCATCTATTGCTGCCCAAAGTGCCTACACTGGACCTAATTGTTCTAAATGTAAAATCCCTCAAGGGCTAACACAAGGGAATGCGTCTGATGATGGGTGGACACAGGCCAGGCCTCCTGGGCATGGTCCCTGCTGCCTTCACGTGTTCTGTATGATGTTATCCCCACCCTGCTTTCCCTGCTGGTTAGCTGAAATCTCATCCTATATCCATGTCTCCTCCAGTCCAACTGGAGTGAGAGGCCTCTCCTATGCCTGTTTTCAGCAAAGCTGAGAAAATTCTTGAGGAAAACATTATAGCTAGGCTGGAAGTTGGTGGCTCGTGCCTGTAATCCTAACTACTCAGAAGGCAGCAATAGAAGGATTGCGGTTCAAAGCCAGCCCAAACAGGAAGGTCCATGAGACTCCTATCTTAAATTAGCCACCCAAAGGCAGGCAGTGGAGCTGTGGCTCAAGTAGTAGAGCACAATCCTTGAGCAAACACCAATCTCAGGAACAGCTCCTAGACCCTGAGTTCAAGCCCTGCCTCCAGCATCCCCCCAAAAAAAATCATAATCCCCAAAGAAATGTAGAAAAAGCAAAAGTCTATGCATTTACTCCAGGATTTCTAGATCCAATAAACGCAAGAGAGGACTAGATAAAGAACTTCTAGAGTCTGTGAGAATAACCCATTGTCAAGCTGGCTGACTGCTGGCAGTGTCTTACTGAGTTCCTCCCTCTCCCAACTGATCTGTGCTTGCTAACAACTACCTCGACACCTTGCAGCAGTCTTCCCCAGCCTACCTAAAACAGGATCATGGTTGAGGCCTTTTTCCTGGATCAGTATCTCATTCTTCCTAGGCTTTGCCTGGAACTCGGGGCTGAGCGCTGGTGCACTGTCCATTCAAGAGCTGCGTGTGAAGCAGCCCTTCCCAACAAGCACCGGCAGGCACGGACAGAATCTAGTTCTTCAGCGCCAGACCCTCTGACTCTCTGCCCTCTTCGGCCTCCTATCAAGGACTTAGGGCCTCAGCTTCTCCATGATTCCACTGGCAACTGTTCAGATGACTTTCAAACATTACTTTGAATTTGTGTTTTAACACCTTTTGCTGATGAAAAGGCAAGAGGTGAGCTCTTTCTTATTTAGTGTGTATGAGAAAGATCTGGGTTCTATTCCTGCCCCTCAAAAAGATTTCAAGAGGCAAAAGTACATTTAATCCCCTTTGAAGCCTGATGGAAGGCTTTGAGAGGCTTACTAAAATGTAAGTATATGTATTTTCTCTAATCGCACCTGACAGACGCCTTCCAGTCCAGGAGTTGACCCCTTTAATCCTGGATTAGCTCCTTTAATCCAGATATATCAAACTGATAAGAAAATAGGTGAAGGAATTTTGAAAACACCATGACACATCATGAATTGTAAACCTCTCCTCTCTTAGTTTACCATGGTACGTAAGTTCTGATTAAAACAACTTCTTTTGGTCAAATAAGCTTCCCATCACATTGCAATATTCTACCAAGGAAAGTGGCATATTAACACATGGGTGGGCACTTGTCCCTGAGGACTGTTGCTACGTGCAGGAAGAAGAAATGTAGTAGAGAGAAAGGAGCTTGAAACCGGGCACTGGTGGGTGGCTAGATCTGAGGATCCTGGTTTGAAGCTAGCCCAGGCAAATCCAGGGGGTTCTTATCCCCAATTAACTAGTAGAAAGCCATAAGTAGAGACAGGGTTCAAATGGTAGAGCATTAGCCTTGGGCAGAAAAAAAAAAGCTAAGCAAGAGAGAGAGGCTTTGAGTTCAAGCACTACTACCCATACAAAAAAGGAGGTGATTGAAAGAGGAGGAAAACACAGTGAATAGAAGGAAGACCTACAGAAAAATGGTGGGCTGCTGGGAAAGGGGATGGGAGCAGGTGCCGGGGGAACTGACTGAATGGGAGAAATCTTCTAAGAGTGAGGAGAGAAGAGATGGTCAGTTACGAGATCTAACACAGAGATCCAGAATCAAACGCCAGCAGCTGCCTCACATTTGGACTTCGGAGTGATTGAAATCCCTGGAAGAGCCTGCAATCAGCGAATCAATAATTTACTAATTTAGAAAGCTCAACAGCATGTACAAATTGAAGGAAGCATCAGAGAAAAGATGAGGAAAAAGGAATTTAACACTTGACTAGCACATTGCAGAAAGAGGCAGAGACACCTACATTTTAAACATGTCTGTCTTAAAGTAAAAGGGCCCTTCTTGGTTAAAACAACAACAACAACAAAGACTATTTTAAAAGGCTCATAATGGTGTGTAACTGAAGGAAGAATCCTTCTGATAGATGAAGAGTGAAACACGAGAAAGCAAATTACTTCAGAAGATTCTGTCCTCCGCACCCTGCCATCATCCTCACTAATGGGAAAGGGCAGTTATTTTAAGTCCAAGGGACCACGTTACTCACGGCAGTATTAAAATCTTGACTGGCTTTCCCAATCACGCACTGCATCTGTGTCTTTCCTTTACCAGGACCATTTCTGTGTGCTGAGGAAACAAAGTCTAATTTTACTATCAGACCAAGAAAACTTTCATTAACATGACACCAGTTTTAAGCATTCTATAATGCTGTCCTTCTCTCAAATCAAGCTCCCTGGGCCCTGCGATGCTGGCTCCCTGAGAGACACCGAGGATTTCTTATGAAGCCCAGTGACAGCAGCCCACATTAGCCACTACTCACCTATTCGCCAAGTGCTTTCGTTTCAGCAACATTTGCTGTCCTTTCTCTTGCCTGGGCCTCCTGCATCTTCAATCCTGCTTCATCTTACTGAGCCAAGAGCTCACCACTCCCCTTCCCAAGAGCAGCACACCTCAGTGGCCACAGGCCCTTGAGCTCTTAGGGACACGATGCCCTGATCATTTCCACAGAGTTAGTGCATCCTACAGCAGTGGTTAAGTTTAAAACAGAACAAATATCACAGCAACTTGGTTTCCAGTTGCTCAGAGGGACACCTGAGGAATAATATCTTCATTTTATCTGTTCCTTGGGTTAATCTAGCACTTGCTTGCTGGATGAACACCTCCCGGCTCCAACCTCATAATGAATGGCTCATCTCCTTTTTCTCTTTCCTCCTGGGGAGTCCCACCTGCCCCGCCCCACCTCCTTCAGGATCTATATCCCGGTGGGGCCAGCCATGTCTCCTTCACCCTGGATGGAGATTCCTATTCTGTCCCAGGCTTTGCCTGCCGTTTAGCAGCACTGATTGCAGAACAAGTCTGGACGCTGTTGTTTCCTTCCCCCTGTTAAAGAGCAAGCTCCTTGGGGGCATACCTGGCTGTTCTGGAACCATTGCCTCTTTCGAATCAAATTTCTGGCTTCTTGCAGTCCAGAGAACTGATTTTACAGTCCAAGGTTCCAAACTAAGTGATACAACGAGGTGGGAGGGAAAGCTCCTGTCCTTCAGCCCAACTGGGATGTCAAGTCATTGTGTTTCAAAGTAGGTCTTGTTTGGAAGAATTACAGTTAGATCAAGTCCCAGTAATTCTCTAATAGTCGTAGCTCTCATGGCTGGCAAGGATGTTAGTTATTTGGCTTTCCTTGGACTCAATGCTGATAGATGGGGGTCCTCAAATGCAAAAATTAGCCGGAGACAGACAGCTACCCTTCTGCACAAGAGGTCAACTTCTTCTTACCAAATCTGCTTTAAGCCATCATTTAAAATATACCAAATCCTAATGTCTTACATGGAAATTATTCACGTTAGCATTTGTCTTTCTCGAGCTAGATCCTTTGGACATATTATTTCATTATCATCTAGTTATACAAGTTCACAGAAAGGAAAATACATTTTATGAAGGAACCATATCTTAAAGCAATGACACATTTCTTTTATTTTTAAAGTGCCACAGCATGACCAGTGATGTATAGGGTGCCTTGTTCTGCAGCCCTGTCTGAAGAAACTTACTTCTTTACTTTTGGGGTCCCAAACTCAAATGCCAAGAGGGTCTGTGATGATTGTGGCTGAGGTAGTCACAGAGTATTTACAGCTCTGCCTGGCCTGAATGGGGGTCTAGTGTTTAAGTGGTGATGAATGTGAGTTGTCCCTCTTCCTTCCAGTTTTGTGTAATGTGACATTTATTCCTAGTTTTGTGTAATGTGACAATGTGTTTTGTGTATTCCAGTTTTGTGTAATGTGACATTTATTCACACATACACCAAGATTTATAAATAAACTGCCCAGAATCATAAAAACCAGTTACCAAGGAGCAGTACCTTCCTCCCTCCCCACCCCTAGCAAAGAAAGCTGGAGCCTAAGTTCTCTCTGGGTGTTGGAATGAGTTAGAAGCCATCATTGCTCTGTGGTGAATGGCTAGCAGGGTAGAGTCAGGCAATGTTGTCTATATTTTAAGTGCTCCCAAACCACATAATTGCCATGCCTAATTTTTAAAACTTCTAGGCCACATCCCTAATTTTGTGACTTGATATGTTTTCAAAACTAGGTGTAAAAACAGCCAGGCCATTGAGCAAGAACATTGACAGGCTTGTCTAGTTTATGTTGATCGGACACTTGGCTCTACAGACATCCTGTGTACTTTAGCTATGTTTACCTGTCAGACTCGGGAGACCAATCCGTAAACTAACAGGAAGGGAACTGAGTCAATCGGCAGTGCCTGGCAGGGAGGCTTACCCAAAGCGCCATACTATTCCGTCACGGTGCTGAAGCAGACTATGGAATTGATAACTTGGCTTTCGGTGATATAATCAATACACATTCTGAGACTAGAGCTAAAGAGAATCACTCTGCCTCTTGAGCTAGTGGAGGCTTCAGCTGCCTTCTTGCCTGTAGAACTGGAATCTCTCCAGGGCCCCTCAGCCTCCCACCCCCTCAGCCATTGCAGGGGTGCAGACTTCTCCACCTTCCCCTCCGCCTAAACTGCCAGTCACCACGGTAATCAACTCACTGCACGGACAAAAGTTCTTTCTCTCGGAATCTTTTGGAAATTCCACGTACTGGCCCAGTGAACAATAATTTTTCAGAATATACACAGAAGGGCATGAAATGGTTCAGATAAATTTATGGTTGACCAGCCAAGAACTTCAGGTTTCCTGCGACTTCGTTGACACTTCATGTTTTAATTCCTCTGGCCTCCTACCCTTGTTTTTGGCTGACATAAACAATAACCTCTGAATATCTAGATAGCCCTTCCTTCTTCCTCCATACTATAGTCCTGCAGCTTCAGAATGCACAGGAAAGCTACGGTTGAGTATCAGTGTATACTAAAAAAAAAAATTCACAAGATGGCTAAGGTTGAATATGATTTGATTCTCTCCTCAGTGGAGCCAAGGCTACCAGAAATCCCACAGCCATTTTGCAAACATGGGAATGTAGTCAGCTACAAATGTCAACAGGCAGTTTGGGAAGAGGTGGCAGCCCCCGGAGGTCTGGTCTGCGCTCAATGCCCGCAGAGTCCGCCTGCAGCCTCGGCGGCATGAGGGGTTTGGGAGTGGACCTTTTCATCCCAGACTCTGCTGCCTGTCCCCTCTGGATCAGTGGAGCCGTTCTCCTCAGCTTGAGACCCTCCCTGAGCTGTACTTCCCTGTCTTCATCCTTCTGCCAACACAGTTGAGAGAGTTTTAAAGGGACTGCAGGGGAAAGGCTGCAGCCCAGCCGGGAATATTCACCTTCCTGGGACTTGGTCAGCGCCCCATTCACTGGCACCACTAGCAAACTGGGACTGTTCGCTTCAAATAATAACCCCGCTGTTGCACCTGTGTTGCTTTTGTCTTTTCCTTGGGCATTTCTCAGAGAAAAAGACCCCTTGCTAATGCTCCCCAGTGCTCAGCACCCAGGGACAGGCAGCAATCTTATTGGGAGTTGTTAAGTTGTGATCTTAGTAAACAAATCAAAACATCCTTGTTAACCTTTTGGGAGGTTGGATGTGAATGGAAAAAACATAATGCAATAAGCAAACAGCTTTAAAGAATAATTTACTGCAGCTTAGGGGAAGGAAAAAAAGCCTATTTTCCTACTTCTTTGTCCAATATCAATGCCATAATAAACTTAAGCATGAGCATGCTTTTAAAAATAAAGGCATTATTGCATTTTTATCCCCTCATATTAACTTTCCCTAGCAACTGTTTAATTAGACTTTAACAGCCAGATTTAAATTCAGAACTTGGACCCAAAATGCACCTATGTGGTTACTGCTCATGCATGAATTGTAAAGTTAGAGGAAAGCATCCAATTAACCCCATCGAAGGTACAATTGTTGTGAAATACCTGGATCTGGCTGAACAAACACTTGATCCGTTTCCTGCTGGAACAGTTACAGGTAGTTAGAAGCCTCTTGACTTTCCATTCCTGCCGATCGAGCCGAGGTACAGCAGTGGTAGCCACGAGCTGCTGATGGCACACCCCAGATTGAAGGCTGTTGTTTCTGTCTTCAAAACTTCCCATTAAAACCTGGAGTTAAAGGAGCATGGTCCCTCTGTGCGAGGCCTCATTAGCGTCCAGTACAGCTGCTTCTTTGAGGCGAGCCATGATTTCAGTTCTGCCTCAGCAACTCTTCAGAGGCTTCTGTTCAGCGCGTAGAGCAGTATCCTAGCAGTGTGTCTGAAATCATCTTCAAGACAGCATTAACATTCAAAAGGAGTCCAGGGAAAACATCGCTGGGCATTCCCATACCTTTTCAAAATCAAAGCCATAAATCTACCAGCTCTCTGTCTTCTCTATCGATTGTTGACATTACCCCACTCTTTGGGGTGTCAATTAGCACCTCGCAGTAACCAGCCTTCCTATTGATTATGGTTTATCACCTTGAGGCCAACTCAGTTAATGGGAAGACTTAAAAAGAAGGTCAGAAATGAAGGAAGACTCCTTTTCCTAAAGAAAACTCAAGTGACCTTTCAGAAAAACAACAATAATAACAACAAACAAAAAAATCCCCAGCATTTAAAGAAGATACAGAAAACAATTTTTAAAGATCAGATTTTTTTACCACCTGTTTATAAAATTTACTAGGCTGTAGATCAGCAAGTTTATGTCTCCTTAACAACCACAATCATTGCAGTCTAGCAGTCCATCCACCCCACACAGGCTACCTGAGACCATTTGAGGAAATTTGTTTTTTTTTTAAGTAGACTTTTATTGAGTTGTTCTCATCTATACATTCTGCTGCCTGGCACAGCCCTTAAATTACTTTCCTCAAATATAATGCCTAAATATATTTGGGAAATATTTTAGGAGCTTCGGTAAGACAGAATATTTCTCTGAATTCAGTCTAATCCTTCAGAGGGAACATCCTTGTTGGGGGAAGGCAAGTCACACCACTTTGTTGAACTGAAATACAATTACAAACAACAGAGACACCCACACATCATGCGATCGAGTGCAGGGTATTTTAAGCTACCCCCAGGCCCATCTGCTCTACTGCCTTCCCAGCCCTAGAGAGAAGCCAGTCATTACCAAGCAGTGTCAGAAGACAAGTGCAAAGTTCATCTATAAGAGGAAAGCCCTGTCTGCCAACCATGGGCAGTAATCAAGAAACCTTTCACCCCAAAGCCGTGTCCTAGAGTATAATATCAGAATCAAAAGCGTGATTAGTCTAATCTCAAGAACTAGGGCAATACTTTCCTTACATGTTTTCTTGGTTCAAACTAAATTTCCTTGCCAATTAATTTTACGTATTCTATTTTTACACACACATACACATGCACAGGTGCATGCACTTTTATACACACTCAGAAAGCCATGAGACAGATGAGTGCTAACAGAGCACTGACTCTCAGCACTGACTGTTTTCCCTTGGGCTTTGGCCTTCCCTTGTTGCTAGTAATGGGTGTGATCTGTCTTGGCAAGGCCAACTGTGTGGTACAGAGAACGTTCTGACCCTCCTCACTTCTACAATTATTATTCCACACGGTCAGACAGTAATGTAGTCAGTAAAGAGCTTACATCACTGCTGCTTACCCTGCTGATGAGGCCTCCTTGGATATGGTTTTAGCCTACATAGACTCTGAGGTGGAAGGGAACCAGTGAGGCCCGGGGATGGCCTGCAGCTACTCCACGGGCTGAAACCATCTCTGCATTAGAGAGGTGAATGCTTGGACTATTTTTAAGGCTCTGCAGAGCAGATTCCATTGCCGGCGGTGTTAAGCCTCTTTTAAATTAACTCTTCCACTGCTTGCTTTTAGCCTAAATGAATTGACATCTTTTTATTCTTCTTTTCTTTTTTTCCTTTTTAGATCTGGCCTCAGGTTGTTTGCAGAACCTGCGTAGGACTCCAGCCCTCTGCAGATGGCAGCCGGGGAGTCACACTGGTCTCCCTGGCAGACAGAGATGGCTATTCTGGGGCCTTCAGGGGCAGCCAGGCACTGTTGGGAGCTGGGCCTGAGCAGGAGCTGGAGCTTGGGCTGGAACTGCAGCCTGGGCTTGGGCCTGGGCTTGGGCCTTTGACCAGTTAAGCCTGTGACCCTTGGCAATGTAGATACAACTTCATTCCTTATACTTGAGGAGAGTGGGGGTGACATACACCAAGTCACTGGAGCTTGTGAGTGACCTCCTACAGGATCTTGCATTTATTGTTCATTTCTTTTGCTTCTAGATGGCGTCAGCACCAAGATGGCGTTGTTTGCCTGCATCTAACTTAAAACCCTTCCTGTGCTTCTTAGCAAAGTGCACGTTCCTCAGGAACCTGGGATCTACCTCCTTATGAGACCGATCTTTTTTGTGACTAAGGTTTCTTAATGCCATTTCTGTGCCATTTCCAGGACTGTTTGTGCCCAGTATAGTTCTTGGAGTTAGCCATGACTGCACGGTAACCCATGGCTCACTATGCAACTAGACCCAGAAGGGAAGAGATACCTTTCTTTGCTTAGTGTCCTTGTTGCAAAAAATCCAGTTATTTAGCTACCACAACATTTTGTCAGAATGTTCTTTCCCCCAAGGAGGCTGAACTCGATAAAGCAAAGCATACTTGGTGAAGATCTGGTAGTATACTTGAAATCAAGTTTGGATATTTCTTTGAGAAGGTAATTACAATTTGTAAATTTTTTGAATTAGCCTTTCCTCCTTCTGGTATAGGTACATTATATGAGTCATCTTGAATCCTGAAATAATGAATGAAGATTTATATAGTTTCATTTGTCCATTTCATACTAGGGCCTATGTCCTTAATTTTAAATAATTTTGGAAAAAATTCTGCTCTCAGTTATGGACTTAAATAGGAGGCCCAGAATGCTGTAGATCTCATGGAGTTGTACTGCAATAGGCTGGTTTCATGAAACAAATTATAGATACTGAGCTTCTGCTTAACCATAAGGTTACATCTGCCAGCTAATTCAGTCTTTCGCTTTAACCCCCACATCATGAATTCATGGGAGTTAGAAATATACTTTAAGAACATTTTCTGAACTCTAACTTCAAGTCTTATCATGAAAGTTCTCTAGTTTACATTTTTGCGTGTGTGCCCATACTGGTGCTTGAACTTAGGGTGCTTTTCCTTAGTTTTTTCTCCCAAGGCTGCCACTCTACCACTTGAAATACAGCTCCACCACCAGCCTTTTGCTGGGTAATTGGAGATAAGAGTCTCATTAACTGTTCTACCAGAGCTGGCTCTGAATCATGTTCCTCAGATCTCAGCCTCCTTAGTAGTTAGGATTGCAGGTGTAAGCCATCCATACTCAGCCTGTGCTTCTTTTCTTAATGCCCTATTAGTCACTTGACCATAATGACAAAGACAACAAATATGAGAATGGGCTTCTTAAGCCATCGGTCTTTCAGCCTACACAAGCAGTTGTTGTTGTTACTATTGTGTTACTTTCTGGCTCTGCCTAGTTCTTAAAACATAATTGAATACATTATTGCTATAATCTTCGAAATATAACCATAGTCTTTTCATTAAACTCTTTGCTTCCTTTTTCTGAATATGCTCTTGCTTTCACTTCCTCACGAATCATGCATTGTTGGCACTCGGTGTCATATATGTCTGATGTTAGGTATGAACAAATGGTTACTGCTTAAGTTTGACCAGGTTGTGTACTGGGCAACTATCAAAAGCTTCAGGCTCAGTGCTCTGAGAAGCCTAAGTTCTAGCATTGGTTGCTGAGCTCAACAGACTAATCACATTTCCACAGTATTCCTCTTCATAGCTCACCCAGAAGATACATCCTCACCTCTCTATAAGACCTGATTTCATAAGGTCACCAATGGCTTCTAATGGACTCGGAAACAAACCGTTCAAGGTTTTGTGGTTTTGCTTTGTTTTTTAGCAGTAGACATAGCTGACAATGAATTTCAAGAATAACTTTAATAATACCAATAATAATTCATATAAAATCTAGTCTGTGGATATCATTTTTATTTTTCTGTCTCCTTGGTTAAAAATGAATACGTAAATATTCTATGTAATATAACAGGATTGTTAAAAAATCAAGATTAGGTTTGTCTAATATCTCTTAGAATTACCCAGGTCAAGGTATACGTTTATATTCATCTCCTTGTCTGTCTTCACAGATCAGTGAACACTCAAAGGAGCAATAGGAAAAGTTTAATAATATTCTTACTGAGCTTACAACTGAGGATTCGCATTGAAGCAGGTTAGAATCCAACCAAAGATCACAACTTCCTGGCTTGGTATTTTCTTGAATGCGTTTCTGCACAGATTACAGAATGCTTACACAGAATTCTCAATTAGTGAGTGATAAATGTAGGACAGCAGTTGAAAGGAGACAAGGAACAAATACTGCTGCAAAGACATGTTTTTGAAAGAGAGAAAACACTGAGTGTAGTCTTCTGACCACCACAGATTGCCCTACCAAATTAAGTCTGTTCATTCTTTCCTAAAGAAGTCAAAATTTTACAAAGCATACAGAAAGGAAATGCATCATGCTCGTGTAGAAAAGCCAGTCTCCAATCCTAAGAAAGTATAACTTCACAAAAGACATTGCATTAGTACTATTTAGAGGCAATATTTGAAACATTTTAGTTACTAATTCAAATGGCAGTAAGATTATCCTGATGGGGTATTCACTGTTCAAAGGAAATATTTTGGAGTTAACCACCTTGTTGGTTGTTTTATACTTTTAAAGTAACTTTTATAATAATAGCGATTTTCTTAATGGCTTTGAAATACTTAATGCCTTTAAAATGTCAAAAAGTGCCGATTAGAGTTTTAGACTAACCATTTCTCCAAATTTTTATGCCATCATTTTGGAACTGTTTTTCCTTCTGTCCAATAGCTGTATTTTCAAAAGAAAATTCTACTTCCCAGACAGTGTGAGCACTGAGCAGCCTAGGACGTTAAGATAATAGGGAAAGTGAAAGAGAACAGATCTGGGAATTATTCGGCTGTTAACTTCCCTTTAATACCTGACAAAAATTCTGAAACTGAGTTTTTCCTGCAGAGAGAGAGAGAGAGACAGAGAGAGA